ACCACCCCACCACCAGCACCACCACCCCCACCACCACCACCCCCAGCACGGCTTGGGGGACCCACCCCCTCTATAAAGGTGTTGGCCTGGCCAGGGGCAGAGTCTGTTTGCCAGGGTTGCTGCCCCTCTTACTCATCTTTCCGGGCCATAGAGGGGTTGGGAGTGCCCTTACCTCTCTAGGTGTCTATCCTTAGTCCCAGAGGAGGCTTCTCCTGGTCTGGATGGCCCCACCCTGTCCCCCTGCAGCTCCTCCATGTGCCCCTTCCCTCCCCTGCTCCCCACAGCCTTTCTCCTTTCCTGCTCTCTCACAACAGCCCCTGACGGCCCACCAGACCCAGTGCCTGAAATAACCAAAATTCAGTTCCCTTTTTCCAGAAGGCAGGGAGAGTTTACATGTCAGACTCTTCCAGCGGAGCTCAGAAGAGAGGAAAAACAAAACAGCTGAGTTTCCATACTAAAACTGACCGGATGTTCACACCTGGCCACCCCTACCAGGGTGTGAGGAGAGGGGCCTCCAGCCATGATGTGTGCGGGCCGCCTTCCAAAGGGGGGTCAGGGCCAGAGACCCTCAAGGCCCAGTCCTCTGACCTTGAATGAGTCACGTTAGCCCTCTGTTCCTCAGTCTCCTCATCTATGCAGTGGGGGTGCTAATCCGCCCTCCAGATGGCTGTGAGGAGGCAGTGAGAGAGACATGATGAGCAGAGTGGTAAGCATCCACACAAGTGCCAGGGACAGCAGGGGGACAGGCGGCCCAACCTCGCAGCTCAGGCCCCAGGCCAAGACTTCCCTCCAAGTCATTAAGCCTTTATCTTTGAAACAGGAGAATCCTAAATGCGGAGGCAAGCGGGGGGCGCCGGCCTTGAGGGGCCTGGCGAGGGGGCAGGGGCCCTGCCCTGCGGTACGCGGTCTGGCCTGCGTGTGCTGTGCTGTGCTGTGCTGGCTCTGCCTGCCTGTGCCCGCTGCTCTGCCCGCCCTTCCTCCAGCCTGCCTCCCTTTGCATTCCGCCCTCCTCCCCACTTCCCTTCGGGCCCAGCCTGTGCCCCGTGGATGCACGGGCGTTCCGGAGGTGTGCTCCGCGTGTCTGAGCCCCGGCAGTGTGCCCAAAACAGAGTGAAGTGTTTTCTGCCATGGGATCCCCCCTCCCCCAGGGACTCTAGACTACTGATAGGTCAGCCTTTGTCCCTCTCCAGCTCTCCCACCCTCCGGGCCACCTGAGGAAACCCACGCCCTGCTTGTGTGTGATTGCTGAGCCGGCACTGCGGTGCCTCCAGACAACCCCCACCCCGGGGCCCAGTTTCCACCCTGACAGCCTCGGCCCGTGCTGCCTGCCACTCAGATCCAGACACAGGGACAGGACGGGCCAGAGGGGGATCCTACTTCCTGGGCTGTCCTTCAAACACTCTTGGAGATATTCCTGAAAGTTCTCAGGCCCCCAGTGCAAGGGGCCAGAGCCACTTCACGGCTGCCAGGCAGGAAGCCATGTAGCCCCTCAACAGGGCCAGGGCCATGACTTGCTCTTGGCCAGTGGATGTCCAGCATGAGGCCCAGTTCTCCACAGTGTCCTGGTTTTGCCCACTGCAGGTATCCCAACAGAGCCCTGTGGGGTCGCACTCAGAACAAGCACAGTAAGGAGGCATTGTGTCCCATGTGCCAGCTACCCAGGTAGACAGGGCAGGCATTCGGGCCCTGCCTCAGGGGGCTCCAGTGGTCTGATGTGGCAGCTCCCTGGGCTACACCTCCCCACATCCGGGGCAGGAGTGTGGGGTGTAGAGAGCTGACCAGGCCCCTGTCCCCAGCACTGAAACCTTCTTCCTTTCCAGGGGCCCGATGGGCTGCCCGTTCCTGGCTGCTGGCATAAGGTACCCGGCAGGGAAGAGTCTCTGGGGCAGGCTGGGAGGAGAGGGGGGCCCCGGGAGCCTGGGACAGAGGATAGAGGGGCATGCCTGTTCCTGAGGAAATGGGCATGACTGGGGGGCGGGGCTCATGGTCCCCTCCTCACCTTCCGTCTTTCCCTCCTTTTCCAGTGATTCCCCAGCACCCAGCTCACAACCTGTACAGATTCGTGTGGACGTTTTTAATTTCTGTAAAAACAGAACAGTAATATATTGATCTTTTCTTCATGGGATGTACCACGTGTGGCCTTATAACATTTAAGAGTGTTCCCGGCCCAGTGCCGGAACGATCCGCATGTGAAGCTGGCAGGAAAGTGGACAGGCAGACAGAGGAACTGTGTACTTGAGGGGCACCCACAGGACTGGGCTTTCCCAGGAAGGAAGGAGACGAAGGTGCAAGTGCCTGGCTCAAGAGAGGCTGCAGAGATGTCGGGTCGGGCCTTCAGCCACCTGATTGGCAGAGAGACTCCGCTGCCCAGTACCCTGTGAGAGCTTGCCTTCTGACTCTGGAGCCCCTGGGGCCCACCCCACCCAAAAAGGCCCAGGGCTTGGATGGCAAACACAGCTGCTCCTGGCCTCTCTGGCCTCTGGACTCAGCCACAGCCAGCTGCCCACCCCCTCGGGCCCCCTGGGCCCTAGGTTCACCAGGGCAGGACAAGACTCCCGCCCAGCACTTGCAGCTGGACGCTGGGAGCTACGGAAAGCACCCTGAATGGGTCTCACTCCCAGCAAGCTCAGTAGGCCTCAGGAGGCCAGCCAGCCATGAGAACATGTGTCCTCCGGCCAGGAGCAGAGGCCAAGCACTGTGATTGCCACCATGCGGCCCCAAGTGTGGAGGACAGTGGGTCCCAGGTAGGAGTGGCTGCTGCTTCCTGTCTCCACACCACCCAGAGCAGGGGTGTGATGAGACTTTGCCAGCCTGAGGAGACGGGCCTCCAGCTCAGAGTTTGGGTCTCACTGGCCCCAAGTCTCCCACCCAGGAGAACTCTGGTCAGCCTGCCAGAAATGGTCCTCTGGGTAAGCTGTGCAGACGAAGAGAGCCTCAGGGCTGGTTCCCGGCCGGCCTGAGCAGGGGGCCTGCGACCTGAGCCGCCCGTGCTCTGAGAAGAGGCTTCCCCACCTCTGATAAGGGTCCCAGCTGCCAGCCCCGGCCCAGCTACTTGCCTCCCTTCTCTGTGTAGATGGACATCGCTGCGTGTAATAAACCACAGATGTGTGTCAGGGTGTGCCTGTCCTTGCAGACTACCCCTGGGGTGCCCCTGGGTGAGGTTTCAGCCTGGCCATTGCTGAGTAGGGAGGGACAAAGGGACCCCCTGGGTCCAAACCACCCCAGAAACCAGAGGAAGTAGTTCAGGGTCAGGGCAAAGATGGGGTTTGGAGTTAGGAAGACACAGACTCAAGGCGTGGTCCTGCCGCGTACTAGCTGAGCTCTCTATCTAGTCAATCACTTCATGAGCCCGTGCGCTCCTCTGATCCAGTAATCAGTGATTGCTGCATAACAAGTCACCCCAAAACTTGTTGCCTTAAAACAACGATCCTTTATATTTCTGTCTTACAGTTCTGAGGGTACAGGGCTCAGCTGGGTGGTTGTCGCTCAGGCTCTCCCACACCTGGCAGGTGATGCTGGCTGTCAGCTGGGACCCCAGGTGGCCAGAACACCTCTCTGTGTGGCCTGGGCTCCTTCACAGCATGGCTGCTGGATTCCCAGGGTGAATGTGCCAGGTGGAAGCTGTGTCGTCTTTCATGGCTAAGCCTCAGAAGTCATGGTGTCACGTCCTGCCAGAATCAGAGGTTCACCCTAATTCAAGGGAAAAGTGTCAGCATCGTATTTTAAGGGGAAAATGTGGGATAGTAGATCTTGTTGCAGCCATCTTAGAAAATTCAACCTGCCACCTCATCTGTAAAATGGGACAGTAATGCTTACACTCAGAGGGTGGTTGAGTGAGAACCAACTGCGTGGAATAAGCAAAGAACCTAGGACAGGTCAGGCGCCCAGAAGTGCCCACAGTTCTGAGTACCCTCTCGCCTCCCCACTCCAAGACCAAGCAAGGGCCACAGTCTTGCAGAGCGTTTCTACATCTCTTATCCCAGCTGGTCGTTATAACAACCCTGAGAGACAGACCCAGCAAATGTGCCCATTTCACAGGTGACAAAACCAAGCACATCCAGGGTGGTGCAGACAAAAAGGGACCTGCAGTGACAGTGTCTCAGGGCTTCTTCCTCCAAGGACTGAGGCCTAAGGAGGCCACAGTATGGGTAGAAGAGGCCCAGCCACACCCTGGCCAAGGAGGTGGAAGGTGTCAAGTCCCCACCTCTGTCTCCCTAAGTTGCTGGCAATAAGTGGCAGGCCACACTACTCAGCCAGTCATCTGGGTTACCGAGGAAGACAGTCGTGTGAAAAGGAAGAGAAACAGTGGTGCTGTGATGACTAATGGAGATCACTGGGTGTCCCAGTGTCCTTTGGAGTTCCAGTATAACCTCACAAATATATTGCACTCTACAGTTTGTAATTTGCTCCCCCCTCCACCCAGGTACCTCACTGGATCCCCTCACCAACCCTGTGAAGGACAGGGCCTATGTGGTTGGTGTCACTATTGCCACTTCACATATGGGAAAACTGAGGCTCTGAGGGTTAGTCGCCTGCCCAGTTGTGGTGGCAGGCTTGGGACCGGACCCAGCCTCTTGGATGTCCTCCAATTTGTCTTTCTGAAATTGCTTGGCAGGGCATGGAGTCTGCTAGGCAGCGCCATGAGGCTGGGTGATTGGCAAGCAGATCTACATGGGGGTAGAAGCCACATGTTCTCCCTTCCGCAGACACTGGAGGGAGTCCCTTTTCTGCTCCTTTGGGCAGGACAAGGCCATTCATGGCCCATTGCTGCCCCCTTGAGGCCTGATACCGTGTAGCCTCACGTCTGCAAACTTTTCAACTGCAAACATCAAAATTTAGAGCCTGCGGAGTCCCTCCAAGAGAAAGAGACTTTAAGAGAGTGAATTACTTGCTTGAGGTCCCAGTTGAGACACGGCAGGGTGCCCTGCCTCACAGCTGAGCCTCCTGGACTGAGGGGCCTCACGTCTCCCTGCCAAGAAGGGCAGCTCTGCCTGAAACTACCCCCTTCTGGGAGAGAGGGAAGCACATTTATCCAGTCCTGCTGTTGGCCACGGCAGCTAATCACATGGATGACTATCCCCTTTTGCAGATGAATCTAAGGCCTGAGAGGAGTGGGCTTACCCGCGTCTCCTTCCTCCTGATCCCTAGGATACTGCATGGGATGCTTTCGACAGTTGCAATGATTGGGGGACACTCCTGGCATTCAGTGGGCAGGGCTGGGGATATCAAACATCTGAAATGCATGGGACAGTCCAGGCCAATGATGAATCACGTCACCAAGAAGGCCAGTGCTGCCCACACTGAGCAACACCATGCCCTGGGTTCAAATCTTGACTCGGCCATTTCTTCCCATCCCCTGCCCTGTTCGTCTCCAGTGGCATCTGGAAGGCCAGGCATGACATAATGGACAGAGCAGTGCTTAGCATGGGGCCAGAGGCAGGAAGGAGTGGGCTTTTCTGAGTTGGAAGAAGGGGAGGCTTCCTGTTGTCATCCCGTCCCTGTTATAGATACTTTGGCCCAGAAATGGCCCAGCCTGGTCTAACCTCCAACTGTATTACCTCCTGACCCTGGACATTCCGGGAGTGGGTGAGATGTGGGCTGGGCCTGGCTGCAGGCCTCTCACCCTCCACCCAAGGCAGGAAGAGCCCCTGAACCAACCTGACTTCTCTGCACTGTCCTGGGCCACAAGGCAGGCTTGTGTTCAGACTCAAACAGGACCAAAGATGGGCCTCAAACAGGACTCTCAGACTCCTCCCTGCTCCCCCCACCCCACACACACACATGCACCAAACACATTACATTAAAAGCTGGAACCACAGGGCATAGTCACCTATGGGTCTGCCCACCAAAGAGGAGGAGCAGATCCATTGAGAAAACCAGCAACCTTGGTCCCACTCACATTTCACACACCGGGAGGGAGTCTTGATCCTCAGAAAACAAGTACAGGGTACAAGCAAACTCTCTTGGTTAATTTGGGAGGAATTTTTTTTTTTTCAAGAATCATACATAAGGTTCAATTCAGCTTTACCATTAAAAATAAGAAACTTCATTCAGTTTGGGAAGATGAAAAAGTTTTGGAGATGGATGGTGGTGATGGTTGCACAATGTGAATGTTCTTAATGCCACTGAACTGTACACTTAAAATGGTAAATTTTATGTTATATATGTTACCATATATAAATAAATAAATGAGACACCAAATGTTCTTTAATAAATGCCTTAAGCATTTTATTGTTGTATGGGGGAAAAGATGAAGAAATCAGCAATGAGGGCACGAAGCAGAGGGCTGAGAACCTTGAAAAGGAGACAAAAGGAGGGACAGCAGGAACCTCCCCTGCCCCCACCCTGCCCAGGCCACCCAGCTCAGGCTGCAACCCCAGGCTCTCGTTCCAGGGTCCGTCAAGGCCGAAAGTCCCAGGGCCCCAGCCCAGAAGGGGAGATCTCTCTGCTATCCCAGCTTCCCAGCTCCTTGGGGGCGATTTCTTCTCATTCACTGGGCTGGGAGTCACGCAGACCTGACCTCTGCAGACTTGCTGTGTGTCTGGGAGCAAAGCCTTTTCCCTTTCTGGGCCTCGGTTTCCTGGCCATGCACTGTAAGGCTCAGGAGGCCTCCCAAACTTCTTCTACCTAAACACTGCATGCTTCTCTCAGTGTAGATATATCTCACGTTCACCCTGCCTGAATTCTAGCAGGAGCCGTGCTGCCTTGAAGGTCGCGCCCATGACCTTCTTGGTCAGCCCCGGTAGCGGCCCCGCGCCCTCCTCTGCCCTTCCTGCTGCTCCTTCACGGGGCTGGGAAGTCCCAGGTCCTGCCCCAGCAGAGACAACTTTCTTGCTCCTACGCCGGGGCCTGGCACACATTCCCAGTTAGCGCTCGCGGTGATGCCACTTTATGCACCGGGAAGGCGACACAGACTGAGCCCCAGGCCCCAGGCGAGGCCTGTCCGGAGTCACCCAGAGACCTTCCGGGGAGGGAAACCGCAGGGGGCCGGAGGGCGAGGCCCGAGGACCAGGGCCGGGGCAGCGCTCGGCCAGGCGAGCACAAAACCGGTTCCCACTCGGCGCTTTCCACGGCCCGACACGAGCAGGGGAGCCTGCGGGGCTCTACAGCCCAACGAATTCTTCCACTAGCGCAACGCGGGCCACTCGGGGCGGGGCGGCGGGGCCGCGGCGGGGCGGGG